TTTATAATTATATTCGTTACAAAATGCCGTATAGTTAATATACAAAAGTAAACTGAAATAACTGAAAGAAAGGAACGAACGTGTAGAGAGAAAATGGAATTAATAACAGTGAAAAATACCAATATCAGTTGTCTCTTTACAAAAGATTCTGACAAGAGACACTTAATCCCGATATGAAGATTTTATCAACAGAACCCAAGCAACCTATCATTTACTTTAAACATAACCAAAATTATACTACAAACATAGGTAGATGATAAATTATGTATATTTAATGATTAGAAACAGTTGATAAAGCAGTTAACTGTCTCCAACCACCTGACTTCAAAATAAATGAACTGGAATCTTGAAGAGTATTGAAACTTGGTGGATAGAATTCGGTCAACATTAATGACCAAGCAAGAAATGACATTAAATATTATTGAGAAATGATCGGTTTATATGTGTATTGTGGATATCTCAAAAAACTAACATATTGAGCCACCTAAATAAAACATTATCTAATAACTTCTGACCTTGGTTTGTAAAATATTTTACATTTTATCATCAGAATGAGGGTTTTTGGATATTGTAGTAATTTAATAGTTTAATTCATGGGTCGATTAAAGCTAGACCACGATGAAGAACCTGAGAACACTGAGAGGTCATTCCGTCCCAGTACGAGACCCCTCATCATCTACAAACCCGCACGCTGGACCCGAAACCAGGCGCTTTGGCGTCGCTTGTGAACACTTAACCAGCATCCAACGGTGTTTATGTTTAACTTCAACCAATTGACGATCTTGCGCGATCGTCCACCATTGTTTTCAGAGAGTAAATTCCTCTACAGCAGATACTGTTGAACTCCACTGGTCATGGCTTCTCACTAGAACTCCGAAATTCGTCTCTTTAAACTAGTCATTTGTTTGACAATATTCACTGTTAACATGATCTCATTGTATCATACTGTGTGTACCATTCAAGTTTATGTTGGTTTATGTCAACATGGAAATTTTCGTGAATAAATCGTATACACATTAGAAAGAAATATCTACCTGGCTTACCATTTACATACTTTTTTACATATCAGTCATATATATAGTTATTGAATCACATGTTGAAAATAAATTTCCACACCACTAATTAACCAGTTAATCTTATCAGTCTGTAATAAGATGACCATAGCAAGTAAGTTATTGAATAAATTTCCGAACTTTACAAATTAGTATTTGCTTTCATTACTAAAACTATTGAAATAGATTTATATTGGCATTGTATGAACCTCTTCATTTTATTGTATTTTGAAATTATATCAAGTGTAATTTAAGGTATATTTGTCTAATTTGATTGAAACTATGGACACTTTCTTACTGTTATAAATAACCAACAGTTGATAAAATTCTAGGCAAAAATGATAGCAAAGATAAAATATGTATATTTCGAAATGGGTTTTGTGAAGATTTTTAGAAATTTCACATGTTGAAATCATGAGTCAATTGAAGCTAGACCACCATGGAAAACCTGGCAGCACTGGACGGCCATTTCGTCCTAGTATGGGACTCCTCAGCTGTGCGCATCCACGATCGCACACCCCGCGGGATTCGAACCCAGGACCTACTGGTTTCGCGCGCGAGTACTAGCTTTAATTGACTCATGATTTCAACCTGTCATATGTATATATATTTGAATATACTGAGTTAATTATTGTCTTACTTAGATTGATCAGTTATACAATGAATAAATTAAGCTGTGTAGTACATGTAACTAACTAATTATTAATTTAATGTGTGTGCAAATTTATAACATTTAGAGATTAAACTACTTTAACTAAGAAATTATTTTTTCTTAACACTAAGTATGAAGTTATCCAAGGTGATATCAGTTTAATAATTACAATATAACTGAAATGCACTGAACATCTTTTTGATCGTTAGTAAGTACCTGTTAAGTCATGCTGATTGGACGCTATATTCGTTCCTAAGCTATTCTGATAACCTGCATGCTAGAACTATACAGCGACCTGAACACCAGAAAGAAGATGCAAAGTATGAGAGAGACATTTTACTTCAAGGTTCTTTTTTGTACAAAAAACATGGGTATTTATAGATGTTAACGTTTGTTAAATCAACATCATATTTCGGCAAATCCGTTAACGACATATTATGCTACTTACCAATAGTAGCACGCCACGTTAGAATTCTAGAATGCTCCATCAACGACCCTAAAGAGAACTGGACGTATGATATTGAAGGCTGAGTCTGAGAGCATTGTCTCTCCACTACTTGTTCAGAGTTTAGTGAACCAAAATGCTCACTTAATTCTGTTTGGAGATCTATAAAATACAGCGGAAAGGTCTTCAGAAACTCAAAAAAAGAGTTTAAAAATCTTTGTTATCTGTGTTTAATCGAAATGCACCAAAGAGTTTTATGAATAAGATGCGTTATGTGTTATACTGACTTTTTTATTACTAATTTTAGTATTTTTGTAAATCTTTTAAAGTATCAAGTTCACATACAAAACCTCAAATATCTTTGTCTTTGTAGCTTTCTTTCATATTTTCCTGCTTATATCATCTATCTCGGGGTCAAGTGTAAAGAGTTTCAGATAGACTAGGATGGGTCTGAAGCCATTGTTAAGTGTTTAATACCAAACATTATGTGTAGCTCGCGATGTATTTCTATAACTATCCAGTGGGTAATATTGATGGCACCTGTCCTCTTATCAACAAACTGAACACACAGTCAAACACAACATGTTTTAAATATACGGACCCATTTTAAATCTGATTACTAGTAAGTGTGCATTTACTAACTTGCTGGATAGTTTGTGAATAAAATAGATTACTTCATTGATTAAAACAATAACTCACAGAGGATATTGAATATTGATGCTATTGTAGTGTATGATACTGATGTCGACAGATAAAAGTGGTATGTATCACCAGTAAAAAGTGAAATGTCTGGCAGCAGAAAGTTGAGAAAATCGAAGAGAAGAGAACGAAAACAGAGAGTGAGTGGTATGGAAACGAAGGAACAACAAAGTCTGATGGATATTTGATGGAGTTTTGTCCTCTGAGCCGGATGGTCTGGTCGTGGAACTTTCTCATCGTTATTCTGAACTGCGTCATCAGCACAAACTTCAGATAGAAGTGAAGTGTCTATCCACCTGAGCTACAAGTCTTCTGCACCATCTCAAAGTATTCACTTTACGGTTCTCAGATTTTACCAAGAAATTCTGTAATATTGTATTAAAGTACATTTGGTTGTCCCCGCCTGTGTTCTCGTTCACTACATTATTATTAGAATTATCTAAAGTTGGAAATATAGACAATGAAATCTCAACTTACTGGTCTAAAAGTAACATCTTTACCAAAAGACCATAAAATCTTCAGCTCAACTCCGTATAGCATTGTGAATGGTTACAATTAAAGAGATCTTAAACTAGAACAAAACAAAGGAACAGTACATTTTTTTTAGTTTCCTTTGTTTCTTTAGAGAATCTCAACTTGTAACAAAATTTGATTTTAACTCTAGAAATTTCTTTTTGGAATGATATAACTATAATTATTGAACTTATCGCAAAACAATTACCATTTTTTTAAAAATTTAATCATTAATAAAAGTTCAAGATAGATGAAGATAATCAATTTAAAAAGTACACACTCATCACGTGATATGAATGATAATAACTTGTTTTCTACCTGATATTTGTTACCTTAGTTACTAAAAAACTAATACAATAATAGTATTCAGATCACATTACTATTTATATTGATTAATTCATAGTGAATTCTGTTTTAATAATTGAGTCAACGTAAGCTAGATCATCAACTAAAACCTGGAAACATTGAACGGCCGTTTCTTCATAGTACGAAACTCCTCATCAATACGCATCAACGATCCTGCCCAAAGGACTTGAATCCGGGACCTTTGGTCTTGCTTGAGACTGCTCAACCTCTAGACCACTGAACCGGCATCCAATGGTATTAATGTTTAATTTCAATAGATCCATGATATTGAGAAGCCCTTCATCCATTGTCTGAGGTAAAAAACTGTCTCCATACTAAGAAGAAATGGCTGTCCTGTGTTTCCAGGTTTTCGTTGATGGGTCTAGCTTATATCGACTCATGAATTCAACTATTAAAATTACTACAATCTCAACGAACCACTATTCTAATTCTGTTTTAATTCGAAGTTTTATGAGTAAAACTATTCTTGTAAAAGATATTGGGTAAAATAATCAATCAATAATTTATTGAATAGTTTACAAATAAATATCATTAAAACAATATATCTCTAAGTTAAGATTATACGTGGAATGTGTACTGAGATTTTTATTATTCATCTGAACTACTCCGTAGAAGTGCTTGACAATAGTACTGAATATACATTCCAAGTTTTTAAGAGATATTTCACAAGATTGTAAATATGCATGGATATAAAAAAACAATAAGGTTTAGTCTCATAAGAATCTAATTGTAAATGGTTGAGTCACAATAAAACTTTTGCGAGGCTGATATATGTCAGTTTGAAGTGATGTGAGTTCCTAGATCTTGTTGTGATAATACTGATAGCCACTTCTCTGGTACTGTATACACTAAGGAACGATTAACTAAATAAACTTCATCTATTTTCTAGCCACTGATTAGAACCGATATGGCCACCTTCATAGTGTAAATAATGTAGTTATATTTTTTTAAGTCCGTTTAGAAGTTCCTATGGTGTGACGTTTTCTTTTTGAATGCCTCTGAACGAAACTGAAAATATGGAACTAAGATTCCATCCACTTTTTTAAAACAAGAAATCAAACGTCATAGGATATTTCTATGAATACAATACAGAATACTAGTTCAATTGTATCCATGAAAATCTTAAATTGTAAAGGTTGTTTGTCTTTTTCCATTGGTTTATTTAACCAGTCCTAAATACTATCTTTTGTATTTATTATAACCAATAACTGATCACACGAATGACCTTGTAAAACAAATCAATTTATTATTAGTTAAGTCCTAAGATCTCTCATTTTAATCGAATCACCTTGATAGATGGATCCGAATATTTCAGATCTTTCAGCATGGAACATACGTAATCCCCAGCAACCTAATCCAGGTTATCCTGATATGTCTTCTGTAGGTTATCCGGGAATGACTCCAGGAGGATATCCAGGATATCCTGATTCGTCTGGGGGTTTATCGAGTTCAAACACAAGTACATATCCAGGAATGTCATCTGGAGGATATTCTGACCTGCCGTCAGGAGGTTTCGCAAATTTAAACACAACTGGATATCCAGCACCTATGATGAGTGGGTTCGATGGACAGTCAGGAGCAAATTTCAATAATAAACCTTTCGGTGCTCCTAGTGGTTATCCCGATCAGCGTTTGAACAACCCAACTGCCCCTTTTTCAAGCCAACAAGGTTATACAAATCCTTCTTATGGCAATAATCCATCTGCTACATCATATCTACCAGGTACAACCTCATTCGATATCGATTATTCACGTCAAATGCAAAGTCCTTATATTTCTGGAAATCCCAATTCACAAAATCTCCAAACAAATTATTGCCCAACTATGCCACCATCAGGTGGAAGTTCATTTGGTAGCAACCCAGTGAACACGAATCAAGGATCTGTGTACCCGATGTTTAACGATTTTCCTACTCCGATTTCATCTCAGTCGAATGAATTTTCTGTCTCTTCCAGAGTTTATGGATTTGCTGAATCAGCTCCACACGAAGATATAGTATGTTTGCCATTATTATTATTGTTATTATTAATATTGTTATTAGTTGTTATTAGTTTCGTTCGAACAACTCCCAAGTCATTTTCATTGACTGTTCAATGAATTAACTGTGCACATAACTTTTGTGTCACAATCCGAATTTATTTTACTTATGTTGTGTATAGGTTACAAGCATTTCCACTACTTTCCTCTTCATGACTTCATGGCCTATGAATTTGTGAACGTTGATAGATTTCATGAATTTTATGGCCTTCTTTCCCGTATTTTTTAATTTGTTGAGATTTTATTTAAGTGAGTGGATTGGTCGAGTGAGGAATTGGTCGACTTAGATAATCTGAAAATACGAACATCATTGTAGGAGATATTTATAAGAACAGGCATAATGTACAACACAAAGCTCCCATAATACCTGAACATATTTCCAGTAAATATTTCACTTCTTAGTTGATGTATTTCAAAGAATCCAGCGTTTCTTTTTTTAATTAAAGCGGTTAATTATCATAACTCGGACAAATGTTGGTAGTTATTTCAGTCGATTTATTAACTTTGTATAAATTCTTTAATATAGACATGTCGTTGCAAACATACTAGGCTGCTGTTGAGTAATGCTGAGTTGTCAGATAGTCGTCACATGTGTTTACAGAGTAGTTTCGAATTTATTTTTATCACATAATGCGATATTCATCACAGTTGTTCTAATGTGATAAATAATTAGAAGCATTCTAATTGATTTGCTAACTAGGAATTCGCGAAATAGTGCAATTTAAGACAGGTGGAACCAGATGAGCATAACTGGATGTATTACATTAGTAATTCGTAACGAGCGCGCAATCAAGTACAAATGAATCATCGGTTAGTACAAACACCAATTCTAAATTTGGTCAGTCGACTGAAATCACCTGAATTATCTAGATTTGATATTGTAGGCTATCGAAATTATCACTAATTTAAATTGTTGGGTTATTTATTGTGAATGTGAAGAAGATTGTTTATATTATATAATTGTCAAAAGTTTACCTCAACTGTTATGTAGTTGTGTAGTTGTTAACATGGTAGTAACATTAAAAGACACATTTCTTCATACTATCTATCCATCTGGTCACTTTTTCTGTATTTTAAAATCATTGCCATTTGTACATCTTAGAAGTGAGAGAAGGTCTGTAGCATATTATTATTATGTTAACAAGAGTTTTGGAGATGATTATTTTATTCGGTTCCACATGACCAGTGTGTATACTGTAAATTCATTTGGATGAATGTGAGGAACAAATGCAAACGATTTTTAATCTCTGGAACGATTGATGAATATATAGATCTATTGAACCCTACTGGTAAATTATTAATTCCTGTTACCGTTATAGGCTCTTTCCCTCATAAAATTTATTCACTGGTATACTGTTATTTTCGGTGAATTCACATTATTCTAGAGTTATTTTGATTTAATTTGTCAGTCATTAATTTAAGTAAGCAATAAATATTCAATAAACACCAACAACGTTGCAAATAATTCTACAGCTTACCTATTTATTGATATCGAATCAATTAATTTTAGATGGAGCCAACTTTAAAAGCAGCACCTAATTTTTGTGTTGAACGAGACTGTGAACGTTTAAAAAAGGCTATGGCCGGATTAGGAGCAAATGAAAAAGAGGTCATCGAAGTAATGGGTCATCGATCTGTTGATCAACGTGTAGCAATCGTACAAAAATATAAATCAATGTATGGAAAAGATTTATTTGCCAAATTTAAATCTGAATTACATAGTCACTTAGAAGACTGTGTGATCGCGTTGTGTTACTCACCAGCAGAATTTGATGCCATTGAACTTCGTAGAGCAATGAGAGGAGCTGGTACTGATGAAGATGCACTGATTGAAATCCTTTGTTCAAGGACAAATGAACAAATCAAAAGAATTAAGGATATTTATCCAAAATGTAAGTTATTAGTTTATAAAATGATCAAATATATTTTGTATTTATTCTCAAAATTAAGATTGTCATGAATTAATGAATATGATCAGTAATTATGAGGAACATTCACTATGGTTAATTTTTAATTATTCAAAAATTATTTGCTATTTTCCGGTGTATTTTATCCTTTTTATGAAAATAATTAGACAATATGAACTTGGATCAGCTAAAAGATCATTGAAATATAAGGAGCCACCTGGATTTTTCCATATTACAACTCATCATTATTTTACATTCCTTGTATTTTCCATGCGCTCCCTAGGATCCCTATCTTAGCTAATAATTAATTTTTACTAAACTTTGTAAATAAATTTCAATATCAAGGTGATTCACTTAAAATTCACTTATGTCCATGGAGAGTGATGAAGTGTAACACCGAATATCAACAACGGGGAAATACATACTCTTATAAATACTATAATCCGGTTATATTCACTTTCCTTTATAAAGTTTACATCCAACCTTATAGCATTGGAAAAATAAGTTTTTGCCTAAAGAAATTGTTTGGTACGAAATATTTGTTTTTACTCCTGTTATAAGCATGGTTTAGAGTAATTGAAAAGTGGCTACCGCCCCCAGGTGGGCTTGAATCATCAACCTTTCGGTTAACAGACGAACGCGCTAACCGGTTGCGTTAGACATTAACACTGTTGGATGCCGGCCAGCTCAGTGGTCTAGTGGTTAAGCGTTCGTGAGCAAGACTGACAGGTTCCGGGTTCGAATCTCGTGCGCGGGATCGTGGATGCGCGCTGATGAGGAGTACCATAATAGGACGAAACGGCCGTCCAGTGATTCCAGGTTTTCCATGATGGTCTAGCTTCAACTGACTCATGATCTCAACCATTAAAATTTCTATAATATCTACAAAACCTCCTTCTGATACGAATTGAAAAGTCTTAAATTAGAATAAAACAATTATTCAATGTTCTTTGATTCCCCCTCTGATATTAGTTTGTGGGGAAAACCAATTTCACACTGTGCGCATTTCTTCATCTTTTGTAAGCTTATTGACATACTTGTCAAGCGTCGGTACGACCAATCTAACACACTATATAAAGTTTTGGGAATAACTAATAATGATAATACAATATTATATATATATATACATATATAGTATGTAGAATAGAGCTATTCACGTGACGTCATTGTGTCATAGTTATTAAACCTTAATCTCCAATCCGTGTTACATAACTTTGTATTATCGATCGGCAATTACATTTTTGTTAAATCACCTATTTAGTGTTCAATTTCATAAAAACCAATCATATGAACTAACAACTTAGATAAACTCATAATATTGAATAAACTTAATGTTGAAATGTATGAAGGTCACTTATTTTATATCAACTAAATAAAGAGTAATGAATGCTTAATGGTAATGAGCTAACAATAATTCATTTTCTAGAAAACGGTGCTTGAATGTTACCTACCTTTCATTCAAAATATTTTTTTAAAAATAGCTACAATTTCTTTCAGACACTCAAATAATTTATAGCAAATCAATATACTCAGAGAGGGGTCTTGTGGAGATTTTTAGAAATTTCAATCGTTGAAATCATGAGTCAATTGAAGTTAGACCATCATAAAAAAACTGGAATCACTGGACGGCCGTTTCGTCCTATTATGGTACTCCTCATCAGCGCGCATTCACGATCAATATACAATAGAATGAATACTAACTACTACGTTCAAATTGATGTGTACTAATAAAAGGACAGATTTATTGAGTGTGTACATAGATTGGGAGTAATATCAAGTGATGAGGTGAAGAACTCTTGCTACTTCTTAAATCGTGGCTTATTTAGTAATTACAACAAATTTAAGTTCTAATATGACGTTTCTGAGTGAATAACAGAAATATTGGACAATTGATCTGTGTGAACATTCTCTGACCTTGTTATACTTAGCTTTCCTACTGACTTATACTAATCACAACCATAAAACCTTTCGGATATAAATAATATGTTTTCATGATGTATGACTGTTCGAAGTTGGATGGCTTATTGATTCTCATTCAATATTGATAATTCAAAGCATTTTACTGGACATTAGGTACACCTACCTATGCATATAAACTTTAATTAGCATACATTTATTTATTTGAACTTCGTAGATTACTGAAACCATAGTATTTCTTGAATTTTTTTCATTTATGCAGTGAATTTTTGTCAATCTTTATTTGTGTTATGTCTGACATTCTTACGACTGTGAAATACTTGACTGAATTGTGCTTGACCCTGAATCCGACGATGCGTAGTGAAAACCAAAGACTGTTGATAATGATTTATTTGATTCATAAATGATAAGTGAATACACCAGTTTTATATGATTTGCTTACAGTTAAACTTGTGTAAATTGAACTGTGCAGTATTTAACACCGATTAATGTGGCATTTATACGAACTAATGATTCCTTTGTACTTGATTGTGCGCTTATTACGAATTACAAATATAATATATTTATTTGTGTTCATCCAGTTCTGTCTGCTGTAAACTGCAATATTTCGGGAATTCGTAGTTAGTACATTAATTCGAATACTTCTAATTATCACAATTAATCAATAACCGATCGATTTCACACTGACTAGAGTTTCTTCATTTAATTCTGCCTTACCAATTTGTCTATTTTCCACGTTTATCCACGAAGCAAACATGAGCTGCTTAAATTCTCTTGTAAGAATTATTGATACTACTCGTCTACGAATATCAAAGCGAAGTTTGAACCTATGGATTAGTAGGTGAAAGTTAATATCTCAACCATTAAGTCACTGCTTTACAATGAGTTTGGTATGTATATGATCTATTTATCTGATTTATTGTTAATCATTCAAAAGGTTTCTCATATTGGTACCACTCCTTGATGAACTTTAGATATGCATAATTCGTATTACGGATTTATTGTTGATTATTCTGTCGTCCTGCCGGAGACGTGGCTGTGCACTTTAGAGACGTCCCAGTGGTTCTTAGATTTCAGTTACTATTTAAGTCGGTCAGTCGTGTAAACTATAAATTATTTCTTCGCTTAAAACTATTAGCTAAATTCTTCATTTAATTTCAGTACTCAATGGACGTAACTTAGAAAAAGATGTTGACAATGATACTACACATCATTTTAAACGTATATGTATTGCTTTGCTGCAAGCAAACAGAGATGAATCTACATTTGTAGATACGAACCTTGCACGGAGAGACGCAGAAGATTTATATAGAGCAGGGGAGCAAAAAATAGGAACAGACGAATCAAAGTAAGTGTATTGTTTTCTAAGTCAGTATTAGTATAATGAAATGATCTTATAAAATTTAAGTATTCTGAATTGAGAAAAAGAATTAACTGACATAAACAGGATTTTTATACCATTGTATATGTAATTGTGACCACTCACAATTATAAATCAGAGTTCATTTTAATTGAATTTGACTTTTTGTCACTGAAAGCACGCTCTAATCATTAATGATTTGTGATATAATAGAGAATTATAACGTGATTAGTGTCGACAAGACTGAAGTAACTAAACGTGAAGAAAATATCTGATGTTTGAATCAAATATATTTGACTCAATTACAACTGACTGATAATGGATTTAGAAGGCCAGAATGCAATACAATAAAATACAGTCCATCCCAATCTCCCTATTTCGGGGTTTTTGTGCCATTTCCCCAAAATTTTCTATAGCGGCTTCCCCAAAATAGGGAGATTAGGATAGTTCTGTCACATTAGTCGCCTTTTTTTACTTTATACGTGTTTCAGTCCCAAAATCTTATAAGGGCAGTCAGTACACTATTATCGGATTAAATAAATGTCATCCTCCAATAAATGAATGCCAGTTTGATGACTCACACAACACCGATTTTTTATGATAAAAACTTAAAAGTAGCTTTTTTATATCTATACATATCAGGTTCATTCACATCTTGGTTACGCGATCCTATGCTCATTTACGAGCTGTATTCAATGAATATACATCACTTGGCAAGCGTAATATGGAAGATGCTTTAAAATCAGAAATGCATGGGCATACACTCAGTGCCTTACTCTCTATTGGTAAGTAATGCTAACCAGCACTTTTTTCTAACATAAATTATGAGCTGACAGATAATGATGACCACATAATTTAAAATTATTTGATGAAATCTTTAATCACTAGAGTATTGAATGGTAGTTGTATTTAAGTTAAACTCTTATTAGTAGTGAATAGACATAATCTTTGAATTGAATAATCACTATATGTTGTTCATTATTTAAATTTCATTTCAGTTCGTTGTATACAAAATAAGCCACGATATTTTGCAATGAAATTATTAAAAGCTATGAAAGGTGCTGGAACAGATGACAGGACCCTTATTCGTATTATTGTATCTCGTTGTGAAGTTGATATGGGACAAATTAAAAAAGAGTTTCATGGTTTAAAAGGGAAAACACTAGAGGCATGCATACATGTAAGTGCGAATGATGTTTATTGAGTGAATATATATATGATCTACAGACCATTTTACCGACTTTTCAGGGGGGTTACGTATAGATTGTGAAAATGTGTGCAATCCCTTATGTAGCTATAGATTAAGTGAAAAAGCAAACTGATCTGCATCCAGAACGATTCCTGACTTAAAGTGTTTGGATTGGAAAACAAATGATATGTAGACTTCGAGGTAACTGTTCGCGCTGCACAAGTTTTGACGTCCCTAATTTCGCTCTCATTCTCCGCTTATTCACAATTCGTATGATAACTTATACTACTTATTAATATTCAGTAACCAGTTCCATTTTCAATAGCCTTTGAGCATATAATGTAGCGTATGTTTGTCGTATAATATTCCTAAGTACTTACATAAATTAATATTCACCTTACGTATTATCGTAATCACATTCTCATAACACTTGTAACAGTTAAATTCAGTTTTTCTGCATTCGTTGGATGTCCTTTTAAACTCAACAACTTCCGTAATTTTGTGTTCGTAGTCTCCGTTTGTTAATAGTCATTATTAACTTTAGACACAGTTACCGGCTGCAATTTACGCTATCATATGTTGTAATACATCTTTATGAAATGGTAGCAAGAAGCGTTATCTTTCGAATAGAAATAGACACATTAACCCCCATAGATGCTTCATCAGTTGAGGTTTGTAACTAATTCGCATATTTTATATCAATAGGACTGTTCTTTAGGTAAATCCTCCTTTTCAACTTGTGTTCCACGAGTATTTCAGTCGGGTTGTTCGACAAAATTGACAGTGTTAGTATGGTGCTACTGTAACATTAATCATGCCCTGATTACTAATATGTACCTAATTAATTGTAAAACATAATTCGATAACTCTTGAATCTCACCCTGTTTAGTCACACAACTGTCACATTGTAAAGCTGCACTACAGATGCATAACCGTAACAGGGGAATTTGGAGACAATGTCAAATCTACTGAACCACCACCAAGTTTTCTCATGACAATAATACTAAACATAATTCAAAGTTGAATAATGAACGTATGAGTTCAGTCCACTTAGTTGATTGACTGGAAATAATCAACTAAGACTAAATGCATCCGTGACCGAAATACAGAAAGTAAGCAGCTTCTCACCTTCAAAATAAGTTTATCACTGCCTATAAATAAAGAATCAAACTCGTCGTATTCGGAAGTTGACAATATAAGAAGGCTGCGCTATCAACTAAATGCGTACAGATGTGCGTCCTTGTCTTATATAAAGATACTAACAGGTAACTTAAATGTGTTGGAAGAAAAATTAGGCACTTGGGTCAGTAGTTGAAAAAAACCCATTAACTACTATCATTTCGACTGTTACCTTTCACCTTTTTATATAACTCTGTTGATATGAAGAGCGGAAAACTAGACCGATAGGAAATCATACCTGACCCAAACATACAAAAACAATTCCCACTGTATTAATAGTGTAGTAAAACTTGTCATCAAATTAAATGTGGGAATAACATTCTTAATTTATATTTTTATAATTTTTTAACCGGTTCAATTACAGACAATTAATGGTAACTCATTAGAATTAAACGGTATAAATTTGTTTACTCCTCACTCTCTGTAGGATGAAACGTCAAGAGATTATCGTCGTCTGTTACTGGCGCTTATCGGAGCATGATCTCGAATACTTTATTTACACTGAATAAAGTTGTCAATAATGAATTAGTTCATGTTACTGAGTATTTTTAAAGATATATTTCATAGCTACGACTCTTTATTTTAATTAACACGAGTATTCCGCTAGTCTAACAAAAACTACGCTATGAGAGAATATTTTTAAGTTCTTTAATCGTTTTATCTACTATCCCACTTTTCTACGTTCACAAAATGCCGTAATCAGATATTTTTATTTTATTGCTAATTTTTATACAAACAAAGTGATTTGCTTTGAGATGGATTTGTTAACGTTTTAGTTAAAGGGTGAATGCGATTGCATGAAAATAATGACCTGAGTTTGGTTAGTTAGATTGTCGCTCAGAAATGATCGCTGAAAAACTTGTGTTTGTATTTTCCTATTTTCTTTTTGAGTTAAATTTGTTCATTGATGGAAAAAGACAAGCAACAGTTCAGTTTGTACTGATTATACGGTAGATACCAGCTTGGGGTGAATAGCACTCATGAACTACTTGGACTTGGTAAACAAAAAATAAGCACTGCATGATCGTAAATCTCCCCTTTTCATTGCAATATCAAATCATACAGTCAGAGGTCGGCCGAAGAAAACTGGTATAAAATACCATGTTAAAATAATAAGACTTATGAAGGTAACGTTGTTAAAAAGTGCTGACCATAAAAAAACCACCCCACATACCCTTAGGGAGTTCAAGAATCTTCATTTAGAAGTTATAACGCCCCAAAGTGGAAGCCGAGAATCATTGCTGAACAAACAATCGAATGGAACTCGTGACTATTCATCGAATTCCTTAACTATGAGGAAGCGTTTTACAGCGTGGATAGAACCTTATGAAACCATCTTCGGCACTATGGTGTACCTGAGAAAATCGTCAACATCATACGAATTCATACAACAGACTACACTGCAGTCATGCATGGAGGAGAGCCGACAGATGTATTCCGTGTGAGGATCAGTCAGACAAGACTACTTAATCTCTTCTTTTCCCTTTCTTCTGGTGGTTGACTGGATTATGAAGAACTCGACATCTGAGAGAAGCAAGAAATACAGTAGACACCTAGCCCTTCTATCCTATACACACCGACAAATTCAGATGGGGACAACTAGTAAAGCAGCAGCCTCTTCGAAAGTAGGCTTCAACATTCACAAGGGAAAAAGTTCCTAAAATACAACACAGTGAGCACCAACCAAATTACACTTGATGGAGATCTAGAAGCAGAAACTTTAACACACCTGGGCAGCAACATTGATGAACGAGGGGGATTTGATGCATATATGAAAGCACGGATCGACAAGGTAGGGGCAGCATCTCTATAAGTGGCGAACATCAGGAACTCTAAACACTTCCCAGCCAACACCAAAATCAGAATATTCAAAACAAACTTCAAAAGTTTTATTGTACGGAGCTGAGATGTAGAGAGCAAAAGTAGTAGAAGTACATAAACCTTGTGAAGGCTCTTTACTCGAACACTACTAGTCGAGTGAGAGCTTATGGCGAACTGTCATCTACTTTTGCAACCTCAAGTGGTGTCCGTCAAGGATGTCCACTTTCCCCATTTTTGTTTAACTTCATCATAGACCTACTGATGGAAATAACTTTCTCGTCGACTGAGTTCTCGGGTATTGATCTCCATCCAGGAGGTCCACTTATCGACTTAGAATACGCAGATGACATAGTCCTGTTTGGTGAAGACGCTGACAAAATGCAAAGTCTTCTGGTAGCACTGAGCAACAATGCCAGAATGTTTGGAATGCGCTTCTCTCCCTCGAAATGCAAGTTGTTGCTTCAGGACTGGTCTGCGTTAACACCTGAACTAAGGATAGGGAGTGAAGTAGTCGAACGCGTTGACAACTTCACTTATCTTGTAAGTCTGATCAGCCCTAATGGGTTGGTATCGGACGAAATCTCAGCACGGATTCGAAAAGCTCGTTTGGCTTTTGCCAACTTACGTCACCTGTGGCGAAGGCGAGATATCCGTCTATCAATAAAAGGACGAGTATACTGCGCGGCAGTCCGTTCTGTTTTACTTTACGGTAGCGAAACATGGCCATTAAGAGTAGAAGACACTCGCAAGCTGCTAGTATTTGACCACAGATGCCTTAGAAATATTGCTGGCGTCTGCTGGGATAATCGGGTAAGTAATAGTGAGGTTAGACGCAGGGTATTAGGAAAGGATGGTAAATCAGTTGATGAGGTTATGAATCTTCATCGACTGAGATGGTTGGGCCACGTGTTACGTATGCCTGAACACCGATTACCACGACGTGCAATGCTATCCGGTGTTGGGGATGGTTGGAAGAAAGTTAGGGGCGGCCAAACCAAAACGTGGCATCAGTGCTTGAAGTCACTAACTTCTAGTCTGAGCCATGTTGGTAGATGCAGACTACTTGGTTGGGGTCCGCGTGACTATCGTAACCAATGGTTGGAGACTCTTGGTGACATGGCTCAGAATCGATCACAATGGCGTAGGTGTATACACTCGGTTTCTTCCCTTAAACTAAGAGATTAAAAGCGCTTCATATCTTTCTTTCTACTAACCAATTCTTTCTTCTTGTACTATATCTCTATATGCAATCTTTCTCTTATATATTACAACCTTTTACCTAACCACTGTTATGAATCTGGTGTTCATCTTGTTGTGCTGATGCGGTATGGCAACCTGGACCGATGCACATAAGTGCATGGTTCTACGTTGTAGCTGACTGACTGACTGTAGAGAGCAACTACAGCCACCATCAAGGAAGTACAGGTATTTGTAAACAGTCGTCTACCCAAGATAGTCCAGACCCACTGGCCAGACACCATCAACAACAAACAAGGTTTAAGCTGAAGAAATTTGGAAAAAAAACCGCGAGGTGGATAGGGTACATAGCAGAAACCATCAAACTGCATCACGAGGCAAGTCCTAAGGTGGAATCCTGAAGGCGAAAGAAAAATCTGACCGAAGAACACGTTGCGCCAGGAATCGTAGGCATACATCACAAGAATGAATATCACTTGTGAACAACTAGGAAAAAGAGCCTAGGACAGAAGTGGTTGGACAACCTTGGTCGGCGGTTCATGAAGGGTGACAGACGTGAGTGAAGACGACTTATAAAAGGCAGGGTCATCGGAACAGGCTGGTCTAGTGTTTGTACAGTATCTTTTTTAAAACTAACTCCTACATAAAGTAGTCGCTGGTGTTTTCCAGAATGGCAAGGAAACCTTTACATTTAAACTACCTAGCTCAAATGACACACTACCATCTGGGTCATAAATCTTCTAAATTATTTCATACGTAGCATGCCTTGGGAAGCACTGTCTGGTCTTACCCATGCATACACCAACAAAAGTTGAAGTTGAGATGTTTATGTGAACCGACTAACCTCACATCAAAACGGGGAAGTTGTCAAAATCTCATGTAAGACAAACGTCACCCTATTTCGTTTTCAGTACATAATAAAACTACCCCATTTACGCCCATTTTGTTGATGATTCTTATTACTGATGTGAGGTGTGACCATTTGGAGTATTAATATTCGCACTAAATCCTCCGACCTTTCACTATACATTTAGGTTAGCTCGATTATTTTCTTATTAGGAATTATATACGCTTAGAGCCCCGTCATGTAACCATCATATGCAATAGCTTCATGAAAATTAAGAACGATGACTATTCGGTTTGTAAAGTTCTGTTAGTTCCTTGAGACAGCGTAACAAGGAAGAGGACCGACCAACTCAAGGTAATGGACCTCTGCGAACCAAGCAGGCATTACGTGAAAATTTGAAGTACAAATTTCAGGATCGCATAAATATTTTTATTGCTCAACAAACTGTTCCCTACGAATTTCAGGATCGGTTTGAGGCACTATTTTTCAATCTAGAGACGTAGTACGTAACTACTTGCTTCAATATGGGCTTCTAGGATGCTTAAGTATCCTGTACAAGAGCACTTTGATTTCACGGCGCCATTGTTATCAAATGTTTTATACAATCATGATCCTCTTTGTATTTCTGTGTTAGTACTCCAATCACTAGTTTTACGACTTCTGACGACAAGTGAGGTAAGCTAAGAAACAACTCAAATGGTGGATGGTGAGTGTATCTTACATGCCAACACAGATCCCAATCTGAAGGTGACCCTTCACACCCAGACTCAAATTTCGATATGAAAACCGGTTGACCACTTTGAGAAACCGTAAAATGTTACACAGATGCAGTTTGTGACAGTCCACTTTACAGTATCACATGTTCGAACGCCACCAGATCTCTAGTAAAATGTAAAGTGATCCTTTCCAAGTGTAACTATAACATGCCCGGAATCAAGAGCTCCGGCCTAAACACTTGAGACTTCGGTATATTCTTGTTTGACCATGCGAGGAGCAGATCTTTAGTAGGAATGAACGAGTTATGAGGAAATTTGACTTGACTTTTCGAACAAGTTTCCTATAAGACCAGTCTATTGAGAAAGGGGATACTTCACACAGTAGTTTGACAATAAATCCTTGGAAATAATGACATATATTCCTTTTAAAGTTTAAAGCATCTACTCATAGAAGAACTACCTACCTCAATCTCGCAGTCATCGATGTGCTAGGTTAGCGGTATCAAAACTCAAGAAACAAGAGTAGGCTCTGCAACTCCGCCACAAGTTGCTTTTGCAATTAACTGAACTGCTAGGTTCCAAAAGAATTAACTTCGAACCTATAAACCACAAGACCACAAACTTCAACAGACCGATGTGGATTATAATGACATCCCACCTATTGAATACTGACTTTAACAAGTCACCATGCATCATTTTAACGTTATACTAAACCCGAAAAGTGTGATAGCGCATAATTCAGACTCACATAGTGACTATAAATAGTTGTAACAACTAAATCCAGTATTCAAGCACGGGCTACCTAATTATATGTTGAACTAAAAAGATACCACCCAAATACGATAGAACCTGAAACTCACATTAGAAGCGCGTAATAAAACATCTTCAAGAATTATGATATTGAAGAAAATGCGTAGCAGAAAATTTGACAAGTCATCATCTATGGATGTCACATAGACAACAGGGAAATGTATACATAGTTATGGGAGGGTAATCTTTAGTTACAGTCCACCAGTTTGTGCCTGGAAAACTTCAACGGTATCATTTTCTTCCATTTCCAACTATAAATTTTAATGTGAGCTATAAGGTTAACTTACCGAGCCAGGAGTATCAGTTTCATGGACACTATTTCCATCGAAAAAAAAACGCACGGCAGACTGATTAACGCCCTAAAGGAGATTGAGTATATGCTAACCAAATGTTTACCAGTCGATCGCAATAAGCAGTAATTAATTTCTTGAAAGGTGTGCTTTTCCGTATCTTGAAGTGAATAATTGACCCTTCTTGTCCTTGCA